ATATACGAGGAGAGCGAGCATAATTGAGTTATAAATGATTCGATACATATAATACACAAGAATAGAAACGGTACTTTTTAGGACCACAATTTTCCAAACGAAAAGATCAACAAAAAAGACTTAAATAACTTTGATTAGATATTTAGATTATTTCCAAATATTTTAGTTAAAGTTAACTTTGTAACTAGAATTCAAATACATATATTGATATATTTATGTATATATGTACCCACTTGCATACATTTAAGTATTTGTGCAATTGCACCTGCTTTGCAACGAGACTTACTAGCATAAATTAGCTGTAAGACCAAAAATGTAACTTAGTTCTAATTTTAATTCTCACAAATAAAGTGAGCGTAACCGGTCTGCAAAAAAAAAACAAAATTTTGTGTTTTTTTCAAAATCTATTAATGCAATAGATTAACTGGCGCCCAACGTATAAGTTAACTGCACCCAAGAGCAGATTAACCAACGTAGATTAACCCAACAGCCAGTCGCGTCCGATTGTAGTGAAAAAAAGTGCGAAAAAAATTAAACGGGAATTTCGTCGCGAAATTATTAAACCCGGCTTTCACGAAGAGCCCTCAAGAAGTGCCAGGACGCGGCAAGACCCTCAAGTAGTAAAATCCAATAGGAAAAAACCACACCCCACGGAATTGTGGCATCGTTGGACCGGAGTAGGAAAGCAGTACAGCAGCCCAGCAATCACATGTGGGACAAATTAGGATTTATGTAAGCATAGACTAAGATATTACAGATAAATAATAATAGGAAAAAAAGTAAAAGTGAAAGAAAATAAAACTTAAAATATTTTAATTAAACATAAAATTCATATTTAGCAATTAAAGTAAAGAAATTAAAGTAGTAAAAATTGCAAAGAAATAAAAAAAGAGAAATTATTGTAGTAAGAATAAAAAAGCAAAATACATAAATAGACTTAAAGAATTATATAAATACTTAGATCACTTTGGCTACGTAAAGACGCCCACTAAATAGCAAAGATACATCAGTTTCTGCTTAGGGTTTACATCTAACTTTAAGTTAATTTAAAAAAAAAATAGCTTTGTGAATTAAAGTAAAAATTCAGATTTTATAGATTAAATACTTAAACAAAAAAAATTATATAAACTAAAAGCTTTTACAGCCAATAAATAAGTAAAAGCAAGGTCGCGATTCACCACCTTTATGGGGGACTCTCCGGCTTTATAAAACAAACAACTCTGCGATTCACCACCTTTACGGGGGACCCTGCAGAGATTGACAAAAATACAAAAAATAAATAAATAAATATACTAATTAATTAGGTAAAATAAAATAAAACTTTCAAAATGAGTAATCCGGAATTAATTAGGCTTCCTGTCCTTAATATAAATGTCCCGCGTCCACCCACCATTCCGCAAAACGCTACTAGGCAACCAGGACCATTTAACATTGGTCAAACACTACCAAACAACCCCCAAACAACCCCAGAACTAGCAAGCCTCATTAGAAATATTGATTCTGGAAGAAGCACCTTCTCTTATAGATAATCCATCCTACGAATGAAATAATAACCGATCAGTGTATAGACCCAGGACATATTAACAACCTTGCAGGCTTAGACAGAATACCAGATGTCGTTAGATGTCTCCGAAATTTTTCTGGAGATCCTAGAGAATTCGCATTTTGGAAAAAAAAGCGTGGAAAGAATTCTAAGGATATATGACAGCGAAAAAGGCACTCCACGTTATTTTGGAATTTTAAATGTCATA